TAGCCCACACGGGGGCGCGAGGGAGCCAGAGAGACGAGAATCAGAAACACCTGCGGGCCAGGTGGGGCCGGTGCCTGCTGAGCGCGTGCTGGTGCGTCTGGAGCTGAGACCGGAATCTCTAGGAGTGGTTTGAGGTCATGAGTAACGTACCTGATTCATCATTTGAAAAGACGCCTGTGTTTGCTGTGGCGACACCAGCGTGTGGTAAAGTAGGAAGGGCAGGAGTCTGGGTGTGGTGAGGGGGACTGGAATAGGCCAGGGGGGATTAATGGTGGAGAGCCGGGTGTTGCTCAGACATTGAGGAGAGGTGGTCGGGTCCTGGCCTGGTGCTTAAGGGAGAACCAACATACAGAAAAAAGCTGGTGACCAGGAGGCCCACTGGCCACTCTCAGCTGTCCCCTTGGAGGGACTCCAGCGAAGTGCTGTGTGAGAGTCAGAAAAATACTGTTATGGGCCGTTTTCTAGGGAGTGAGGGGGGTAAAGGAAGGTAGAGAGCGATGGGTGTTGGAGAAGCAACTTCCATGCGGATGAACTACAAGTCATGGCAAATAATGGGGAGGAGCCTGGAGCATTCCAGAGAATAAATCCTACATGAATTTGTCCCTGCATATGCTCTGAGCACACTCGTCATGGTGAGTTCAGGTCAGTTAAATGGACCCCTTTTGGGTCTAACTGTGAGACTGAATTGTTCTTACTTAACGGGTCCCTCGGGGAGAGTGGACAGTGATTGGGGTATTTCTGGGACATGGGGCTTGTCATATCTGCAGGGTGAAGTGTCGTGGATGCAGAAATGTTGTCCTTGTCAGTAGCTGCCTAAACTTGCTTAAACAACTCTCTGGTAGGATGACCTGCAGTGAACAAATGTGAAAAATTACTGGGGGTCCCCACTAGAATTGGGAGACCTTTGAGTACCTGATTCCTTTGTTGGGAGTGGCCAGATGGAGAAAATTTCCCTTCGAAAATGTAAACACAAGCACTTTCTTAGGCCATAGTTGCAGATAAGGTAAATGTGATCACATGGTGTGGTTTCAATCAGCAGCGGGATCACTGCCTTATATGTGTGTGAATTTCATGTGTTCAGAGATGGAAACACCAGGCTTTTCAAGAGTTTATGCAAGCTTGCTGTGAATGAAGTGGAACAAGAATGCAGCCTTCACAAAGATGATATGACATGGTTAAAAATAAAACCCAAAGGTGTATATTTTTGTGCCTTGTGCACCATGATTTTCAGGAAATAGCCTGGGATAGAAAAAGAAGCAGAGAGAAGCTGCAGGAGAAAGCACAGAGTCAAGTGCACAGCCCAGACCCCCAGGGGTCTACTCTTCCCCACATTGTCTGGACTGTGGTGCCGGGGTGTGGAGGGTATTAGGACAGAGTCTCCAGCCCTGAAGATTTCCCTCAGTGTGACGGGCAGACAGTGCACAGGCGAAATTACAAGGCTTGATGAGACTTGTCAATGAGCTGAAGTGGAACGTGATAGAATTTGGGGTGGGGCTGCTGGCGCTGGGAGTCCCTCTGAGGAGACACCAAGGTGTCCTTGGATGATAGGGAGATGCCTTGGCCAGAACTGCACAGTGAACATTCTGAGGGGAAGAGCCAGCAAGGGCAGAGAGTGTCCGAGGGGCACACTGGCCTGCTGAGGGCCACAGAGGAGGACCGTGTGGCTGGTTCTTAGGCAAGAACCAGACGAGGCAGGTGCTGTAGGAACAGGATGAAGCAAAGAAACTCTGAGTGATTGAAATGTGCAAAACTATTAACCTAGGAAATGCTGGTACGAGGGATGGTCTTGGGGGATTAGAGAACATTCCAGGGTGGCCTTCCTGCCATACGTTTTCCCTAGAGCCACCTCTCCCGATCCTGCAAGGGAACAGGGAGGAATTGGAAAAGGTGTGGGTCTCAGACAAGTTGTTGTACTTTTTACTGAAATTCTTTTTCTTTGTATTTGCAACAAAGATTGTTGCAAATTTAGACTACATAATAGGGACAGGAACTTGACAAGCAGGTGTTTTACGTGTGATTCCTGCTGACAGCCCTCAGGGGCCAGTTCAGATGCTCCCGGGCGACCCGACACAAACCTGACACAAATCATCCTTCTACCTTCTTGTTGGCTCTGGTATTTTACATGCAGTGCACTGAAGACAGAATATGAACAGAAAAGTTGTTCCCGCTGCTCTGTCTGTGAATCCATGAGGAAAACTTGTTCGTTTGGTGGTGACTGATGTCGTGTGTGCAGATGTTGAAATAGAATATTGCACACCTGACACATCATGTTATAAAGCAACTTTAAGTCAATGTAGATTATAAAAACTTGTTCAGCCAGTGTTTAGATGACCTGACGAGAAATAGGCCTGGTTTCCAAACAGTCTTCTCTCCTCTGCTCAGGACACTCCGGTGCTCTATGACAAGGGCACCCCACTCTGTTTCTACAGCCGGGAAGGCCCTGAGAGCTAAGAGCTGTGACCAGAACTCAGCTCTAGGCCTGGCCTCCAGGAGGGCGGCTGATCACCTGCTTATTTTTCTAAGAAGAGGCCTTGGAAATTGACTCAGGGGCCCATTGGTGGAGAGAAGCCACAGACCAGAGTCACATTATCTGTTCTCTGGAGTTTGTCCAACCAACTCTGCTTGACCTCAGAACGTCAGGACGTTGAAGAGTCTGCTAACTGGAATCTCTCTCTACAGGACAAAACACCATATATTCTGGTAAGTTCTAATCAGAAATGAGGGAATGAATAAGAAGAGGAGACACTATATTCACAGCCAGAAATGGTTGGGCTGGATTTTGAAAGGAACAGAAGCTTGTTTTGTCATCTTTGTACCCAAAAGCTTTTCTCCCTAAAGTTCTCTTTAACAAGGGGGTGTCCTGGTAACTGAGGTGAGCCCTGAGGCTACGGGACGTGTGTTGGGGCATCTTTGCCCAGGTCAGGTCTAGAGACTCTTTTGTTCCTGTTCTGCACCTGGAGTCCAAGCCACTGTGCTCCCTGTCACAGCAAACCTGCTGACATCCCAGCCGTGCCCCGAGTCCCTCCTGCCACAGCCTCGCTACCCCTGGTAGCTTTTTGTTCTTGATAAAAGACACTGCACCGTGTGAGGAGATGGGCGTGGAGGCTTCAGTTAGCATCCCCCTCATGGCTCGTGGTGTGAGCAAGTGTCCAGACACCTGTCGTGAGTGTTTATGTCCCGTTTGGAGAACTGTCCATTGAAGTCCTTTGCCTAGAGAAAAATGGAGATATGTGGGATTTTTTTTTTTTTTTTTTTAGTGTTTTCTTCCTTTTTTATTTTGGATACTACGCCCTTGTCAGTGGTGTGCTTTGCAATATTTCCTACACTTGTTCCAGGTGTCTGCCCTCTGTCATGATTTCCACTGCAGTGCAGAAGCTGTTTTATGCACCTGCTGGTCTCCTTCCCTTGTTGCTTTGTTTGTGAGATCACACCCAGTGTTCTCTGGCCTAAAGGTAGTTGTCAAAATGGGTGTTTCTGTGGAGGGCTGAGGGTCTAGTACTTCTGCTCTGACATTTGCTGACATCAGTCTCTGAGACCAAAAGAAGGCGAGCCCCTGGCAGGCTGACGACCACCTCTGCGGGGCCCTGATGGTGGAGAAGTTGTTCACCTTATAATGTTCTAGTGAATCATGATCCTCGTAGCATAACACAGAGGCTTCTGGATTTTTAAATGTGAACACCTCATGCCCAGTGCCACACAGTTGTGAAACCACACAGTTGTGCTATTTCTGTCAGAGCAGCACTGCACACCCTGGAAGGCCTGGTTTTGCAGTACGGAACACAGGCATTCACACACTTAGAGAACGTGTCTGCTAATGGGTGAATAAAAATTATATGCGTTGGCCAACCCAGTCGTAACTGCTCTGACATAAGAAAGTGCATTTGTTTAATTTGGGGAGGGAATTTAGCTCTGCTTTGTCGCTTCCAACAGATGGGCTAGGCGATCCCTTGACCTGTTCACTATACCCTGTCTAGGTTTTTTATTTCTGATCACTAGAGATCTTCTCGCTAGATATGTTTTTAAATTTAATTAAATTAATTAATTTATTTTCTCACATTACTGTTAATTTTTGGACAGTATTTGTTTCTCCCCTCAGGTGTTGTCCTGTAGTTCTCCCACGACCTCAGCACCCTCGACCCTCCGTAGTCTCCTGTGCTCTCTCCTCCCGGGTCTTGACCCCTCCCCACCTGCTGTGCATCAGATCCAAGGTCAGCTTGCAAGTCTGTCTTTCCCTGACTATTTGTTCGGTTTCTGCATATTCCATGTGTAAGTGGAACCATCTGCTATTTATCCATTTCCTTCTTACCTCTTCTTCATTTCACTGGTAGAAGAATTTCCTGTGTCAGTATAGTGGGGTTCTGTTCTGGAGCTTATTTTTCTCTGTGGTTTATGGGTCCTCTGCAGGTTTCTTGGCCATTTGTATTTTTCCTTCTCCCTGTTATTTGCTGTAGGTTTGCTCTGCTGTGGTTGGGGATTTGGTGGTGTGTGAGTTCTTTTCCCCTTTCTTCTGACTAATTGATGGTGGGTAACACTACTGGGGTCTTGCAGGATCTGGGGTGTTGCTAGAGCTCCCTCAAAGCACTTCTTGGCCTTGTTCTGGTGCTTGGGAGGGCTGGGGGGTGCTGGGTCAAGAGGCTGTGTTTCCAGGACCTCGCCTCACCCAGGAGAGGTGGATCAGGGCCTGTTTCTGAAGGCCAGGAGGGCAGAGGGTTGCTGAAGGTCTCTGACATAGGAGGCGCTTGGGGCTAATCACTGAGTGGGATGCACTTCCTGGTGCAGCTGAGGGCCCCGTGGTGAATCCCAGATATTTTTTGAAGTGGGATTTAGGGCCCATTGCAGCTACTAACATGGACATCATTTGATTGTGCAGATATACAAAGGCCTAAATCTCTCTACAGTGTCTTGTACTCACTGTTACTCTCTCAAATACACAAACACACCTACATAATCTCATCTATAAGTCCCAATGACTTCTGTGACCCTCTTCTTTCTGCTTCTAGAACATGCCCATTTTTGAGAGTTTGAGCAAGATTGTGGCAAAAGAAGTTGGAGGCAAAGAAATGAGGCATGTCAAATGTGTGGATCATGCCTCCAGCGTGAAGCTCTATTCCTTATTACTGGAGAAAAAGAGTTACACAAAGTTTTGGAGCCAAGATGAAGAGCCGATTGAGATCTCCCTCCTGGATATTCTGGAACCAAGTTCTTCACTGCCAGGTATTGTCAGTCACGGGCATAGCAGGCCAGGGTGGAAACAACATTGTAAGAAGAGGTGGCACAGGTTCCAACCAACGCAGGCTCCCTCATATTAGATCTCTAGTCAGCCTTGCCTAAAGGCAAAGGACTTGGACCATGACTCTTGGAGACGTTACTAATTATAAAGTCAGGCCTATAATAATTCATTTAGTAGTTACTGCAGCCTATTGAGCTAGGAATATCATTCCCATTTTACATACCAACTAATGAAACCTTGTAACATAATTTGATCTAGTTACATACTGGGTATTGGTAGAAGCAACATCCATGCCCAGCTCATACTGGCCCAAGCACTCTGCAGTGTGTGGCCTCCGGGGGCCTGATGCTGCTCCGGTTGCAGATGAGTCACCGGACTGGGCGGGTGATGCTGCAGGTCTCCTGGACCAGCGCCCAGGTCACAGTGATTTAGATTTAGATCAGGCTGTTTTTGCTGTTACCTGACCCTTGGGTGAATCAAACACTTCCTCTCATCAGTAATTTACACTTAAACATAAATTAAATAGTTTCTAAACGGAAACATTTGATGAGCAGAAGGATTGGGCAAAATATCATTCAGTCACTTCCTTTCCATTCAGTTTTCCGTTTGTTCTAGAGTTAATTCTTGAGCTGACCAACACCACCGTTTCTCTCTAGATACTGAGGTGAAGGGACCATTGACCTTCAGTGACACTGTGCTCAAGAAACTGAAGGTTGCTGTGAACGTGGGTGCTGTGGTAGATACGAACGTATCGGTGGCAGCATCAGAGTCCAAAAAATCCACCCTCCAGTATCAGATTGTTACCGTCCCACCACCTAAATTCGAAGAACTCCGAAAGAGGTGAGTCCCTAGGATGAAAAGGGGATTTGTTGGTAGAGCCCTAAGGTGTGCGCTCATGTTGGGCAAAGAGGCACCTAGATTTTCTGTTGAGACATGGAATGAAGAAAATGGCATCTTGTGCAGCATTTTTTCTTTTTCATTCATTCAACTAACAGTAAATAGTTATCCACTGTATATTTAATATAACAGTAATTGTCCATTACTGTGCTTTTTTTGTGCTGAGACTAGAGTAATGATAAGTCAGATCAAAATCTGTGTCCTAAACCATATTACATCTAGCGAGATAGGGCGCTTTTTAATAAGTGAGGAACTGGCATTGAAAACGAAAATTAACAAAGTATTAATTTAAGTGAGACAAAGACTTTGAAATTCTTTGTTTAAATCAATACAGTATACAGCCGTGTGCAGACAGTAAGTTCAACTCTGTGAATGTGGTAACAGATAGAGCTCCAGAAATCCTCCATGGTCTTAAATCATTCATTATATCTTTTAGAAATAGAGATGTCAATTTTCATAACATCCTGTCAATTAAAGTATTATTAAAGGAAAGAATTAAAATCTGATTTTCAAGACCTCATGTGATAGAATAGCTCTCTGCTGGCAAACCTCATCTTCATGGAAGACTTAAAAAAACAAGTCACCCAAATGTGGGTCTCACCAACTCTCTCCAGCATTGCTGATGACCCGTGTAGCTTTCTCCCTGAGGGGGGTATTTTGTTACTTGCTAAAAGTTTGGAGCATGGAGAGCTGAGGGGGGCCTTGGTTATGGTACGGGCCATGCCTAGAAGATGAACAATTTTGAGAAAGGTGTAGGCTTTGATTCATCCAGACAGTACAGGGGACCTTCCCAGTTGGTGTGAAATAAGATGTTGCTTGCTGAATGAGCCCTGGGACAGACTGATCAGCCCCAGAGCATTGTTCTGGTATTTGCATGAGAAGCTGTGGGGGCATGATAGCCCTACCCTTCAGGGGGGAGCTCCCCTGGGGCTGGAGAGAAATCTGCTGCTAGCAGTGTAGCCCTTCAATACTAAGGCAGGGATCTGAGAATCAGGCTTTGGGTTAGTAGTGGAGCTTGGTTTGACGACAGCAAGAAGATCGGTGGTAATGGATTCCCAGCCCTAGTTCATCCTCCTCCATCTAGGAGGTGAACATTAACTGGAAGAATTTGGGCTCCTACTTCCCCACACACTTCCCTCCCATCCTCCCATCATCTTAGTAAATAAAGAGGATCCCAAAACTTAAGCCATTTTGCCACCTTCTGGGGGAAATACAGAACAACACCAGTGGGAGAAAGGGGTAACTCAGGCACTACACATGGGCCTGTATTGCTATATACTTACTGCTTTGCTGTGTTGCATATGTTCTGGAAGGTTGTGTGCTCATTGTCATTTGTCTCAAGGTATTTTTTATTTCTTCTTTGTTTTCCTTATGAGCCCAATTGGTAGGGGACTTCAACACCCCACTCTCACCAATGGACAGGTCAAATACGTAGATAATCAACAGGGACACAATAGCCTTAAACGAAGAATTAGACCACACGCAACCATGGAAGTCCCTGAATAGCCAAAGCAATGCTGACAGGAAACAAGAAAAGTGGGTGTATCAATTCCTGACTTCAAACTAACACAAAGCAAGAGTAATTAAAGCAGTATGGACTTGGAATAAACAGAAAAACAGACAAATGGAATAGAATGTAGAACCTAGGAATAAAACCACACAAATGGATTCAGTTAATCTATGGTAGATGAGCAAAAACTACACAGTAGAGAAAGGAAAATCTTTCCAACCAGTCATGTTGGGAAACCTGGACAACCACATGCAAAGAAATTAGAGTAGATCTTTATTTTATACCAAACACAAAAATTAATTCTACATTAATTTACTTGCTTAATTTACTTACTTAATTTACTTAATTCTACATTAATTTACTCAATTAATTCTACTTAATTCAATTAAGTCTTGAATGTAAGACCTGAGACTAGAAAATACATAGAAGGACAGAGGTGATACACTCCTGGCATGAACATCAGAGATATTTTGGGGCACAAAACTCCAATGGCAAAGGCATCAAAAGCAAATATAAACATATGGAAATACATTAAATTTGATAGCTTTGTACCTCAAAAGAAACCATCTTGAAAACAAAAAGACAATTACTGAGTAGAAAAGATATTTGCATATCATCCATCTGACAAGGGTTAATTTCTAAACTATATAAAGAACACCTACAATTCAACAACAAAAAACAAACAACCCAGTCAAAAAATGGGCAAAAGCCCTAAACAGACACTTCCCTGAAGAAGGATATGCATGTCACATGGGCCACGTACAACTGATCCAGAGGCATGAAGAGAATGCCCAGCATCACTTATTATAACATAAATGCAAATCAAAATCATAAGATGATTTCCCATACCTGTGGCAATGGCCTAGATAAAAAAAGACTGTAAACAACAAATGTTGGTGCAGATGTCAAGAGAAAGGAACACTCATCCACTGGTGGTGGGAATGTAGGTTGGTGCTGCCTTTATGGAAAACAGTATGGAGATTCATTAAAAAACTAAAAGTGGAAATACCATCAAGACAAGAAATACCACTCTTGGTATTTAACCAAAGAATGTGGAAACAACAATATGAAAAATCTATGCACCACTATGTTCATGGAACCATCATCCACAAGAGCCCAGATATGAAATCGACTTAAATGCTAGATAATGAAGGTGTGGTATATCTACTCAATGGAATACTACACAGTTATAAAAAATATGAAATTTTGTCTTGTGGGACAGGTTAGTTACATCTTGACATGATTATCCGAAATGTAATAAATAAGAAAGTCACAGACAATTACCAGAGTGTCTCAGTTATTGGTGGACTATCAATAGCCAAAGAAAACAAACTAGCAAAACACATAAAAATAGCTCTTGGACTCTAAAAACAGACTCGTTACCAGAGGTGTGTTGTGGGAGGGACGAGGTGATGTGGGCAGGTAAGGGATAGCGCGGTGGGCTGGAGTCTGGTGGAGGGTCAGTGAAACACATACACATGTTGAAGTGTGAAGTACCCCCCACACCACAGAGTTGTGTAAACAAATGGCAAATCAACAAAATTTGATAAAAAATAAAATCAGACTGTTCAGAGATAAATGTGTCTTTGGGCACTGGACAATGTCCGTGTTTCTTGTATGTCTTTTATTGTTAGAACTAACATTTGCAAAGGCTGTTGATAGCATAAGCAGTATCTGGGTTACTGCAACTGCAGGAGAAGAAAAACAGTTGTCCTAGAAATTTCTCTCAGTATTTAAAAAGGTATGAACTCAGGGATACATCTTATTATCTAGCACCAAGAGATTTAAACAAGTCAAGCTACAAATGCGTAAAAGAAAGCAATCTAGTTCCTTTCACGAGATGGCAGGCGGACATGGAACAGTTCTCACCTGCAGGTGTTTAGCGGTAGTGTCTGAAGGGCACGCTGAAGGTCGTAGCAGAAACTGGGGAACAAGTAGCTGCTGGAAGAGAATCTGTTTAGGTCTCTCTGTGGATCTAACAGTTGAGTTCAGACTTAAAGGAAGAAAGAAGCAAAAAGAAAAAAGAGAGAAAGAGAGCAAGCAAGGGCGAGCGGGAAGTGGTCCGGATGAGGGGTGTCTATCTATCCCTGGGGCAGGACTCAGGTGGGAGGCTTCAGGATCAGTAGGGAGCGGTGGGTGACAGCCTACTTAACCTGGATGAAGGTGAAATAATGCATGGCTTGGAGGGAAGGAGATGGCAGAGGACGCGGCACCTAGAGACACTCTAAGCGGCTTGAATGTCCCTGAAAGGGCCACAGGAGACCCGAGACTGGATGCTCAGTGGCCTCCCCTGCTGACAGCATTAAAAGTTTTGAGATTTCGGCACCGCCGTTACCTGGGCACCAGTCCCGGGGGACCTTGGGTAGACTCAGGGCTGACTCTCACATCAGAATGGAAATGAAATGTGTCTCCAGGGCTTCAATCCTCTCATTCCCACCTCCCTCCAAACCTCTGTCTTCAGTCAGGTGTGGGAGCCCACCTGCAAGGACATTACTCCATGACACCCTCCTGCGCTGGCCACGACAATCACCAGCACCCCTGCTTCCTCGTGCCTGCTGAGGCAGCTCCACGTGCCCCCGATGGTGCTGATGTGGCTCCCGGCGTGGCGGTCACACCCCTGAGGACTGTTCTCAGCCCCAGAGCGCGGCTGCTCCAGCCTCTCTGGAGAGAGGCCCCATGCTGGGATCTATAACCTGCCCCCAACCAGACCTTCTAACTCGGGAACATGCAGATGTCTCTGACAGTGTGACGAGACCACCCTGTGTCCTTTACCCCACCAGAGAACGGGGGCCTCTCCTCTGGCCGTGCATGTCAGAGGCTGTTGTGTGTTCCCAGGTAGCTCAAAGCCCTAAGTCAGTATTTTCCTGCCCACGAAGGGCTTACCTGTGAGAATGTAAAGTCTGCCCCTCTCCCAGGTCTTGAAGAGAAGACTAACTCAGAGTCATATGAGGAGGCATCACTTTCTCTCTGATCCTTCTCCTCCTCCCTTATGTCTGCAGGAAACTGTTGGACCCACAGCCCAGCTACATGAAGCAATACCGGCGATCAGGGAAGAACCTCTATGTGGTGACAAAGACGGTGGAGCTGCTCAACAGCCCTGTGCTGAGTGACAGCAGCAGTGGGGGTGTTTCTGGAGGTGTCTCCTTCCCTTGGAATCCTGCCACCAAGGTACGGGGTGGGAGCTCCGCAAGCACAGCCAGCCCAGCCTCGCTCCCCGGGGCCTGAGCCCGCTCAGCCTCTGCCTCTGGGGGTTAGAAGGTGCAGGTGGCTGTTTCCACCCGCCATGTGCAGGGCCTGCTCCAGGCCGGAGACCGCGTCCTAACAGCCTCATGCTTGGTGCTTCTCCATGTGGGACCATTCAGTGAGGACCAATAGGAAGTAAATTTAATTGTGATATGTTATATTTTACTTTTAAAGAGTGCTGGATCCTGGGGAATCTAAAGGCGGGGTTCCTCTACTGTACCCATGTTCAGTTTCATGCTGGAAGAAATGAGGGCCACCGTCTCCAAACCGCAGTGGTCAAAGTTCCCACACACGGTGTGATAAAAAAGATTTAACGAATGTGATTTAAGAACCTTGAAACACACGATTTAGTGAGTGCGTCACAAAAACCAACCATGATATTTGAAATAATTCAAGAAAAACCATTTATTAAATATATTGTGTGTTATAATGTATTTTTGCTGATAGAAAATTTTTAAGTCATTTGTCTTCACTTAACAGATGTAGAGCATAAAGGGGGAAAAAAAACGAAGGGGTGAACTACTTTCCCAACTAGTGATTTTGCCCTGGAGCAGTTGGACCGAACTTCACCCAGATCACTAAAAAAAAATGGATTTTTACCTTTATTGCAAACTATATAAACTTGAGGAGGGCAGCGGCGGCCTTCTGCAGGTGTGTGTGCCTCAGAGCAACCCCCGCCGCGGGCCCGGTGCCGCCCCGCTGCCCAGTTGGCCGCCTCTGCTTTTCCTCCTCTCTCTCCCCCTCCCTGTTCTCCACAGCCACCGTCCTTTTTAAACATTTATTTTATTATTTAAATTTTTATTTTCTTACACCATGGGTCATTTTTGTGCAGTTATTGCCTTAGGTGCGACTCCCCCACCCATATTCCACCCCCGAGACCAGCACCCTGCTCCCCTGCAGCTGCTCCCGCTCCATCTTTGATTTTCAGCTGCTTCAGTATAATATTCCTAGTCTGTGGGTTTGCTTGTGGGTGTGTTTGGGCTTTTATTTTGCTTGGAGTTCTCTGAGTTTCCTGGAGCTGTGGTTTGGCGGCTTATATTAATTTGGGGAAGATTCTCAGTCATTATTGCTTCCAAGATTTCTTTCCTCCTGTTGTCACTTGTATTCCGATTAAATGCGAAACTTTGACAGTGACGCCACATGCCTTGGGTCTTCTGTTCATTTATTCAGTCTTTTTTCTCCTTGTGTTTCAATTTAGTGATTTCTTTTGAGATGTCCTCAAGTGCAGAGATAATTTCTCTGTCGGGCCCAGTCTCCTAAGAGCCATCAAAGGCACTCTTGACTTCTGAAGTAGAGTTTTTGATCTGGTTAGCATGTCTTTCTTTCTTTCTTTTTTTAAAAAAGGTTTATTTATTTATGCATACAAGAACTGGGGGTGTAGACCAGAGGTACTGGGGGTTAAGAGGGTTCACCAGAGAAAGCAGGGAGCAGAACAGGCGAATCTACTGAAATACACTGCTGAGGGGAGCAGCGGGCGAGGCAGGAGAGGTCTGCTGCGCCATGTGGGATGCTCCCTTGCTGGGGATCAAACTCGTGCTGCAGTGGCTGGCGACAGCTTCATAGCACTGTCTTTAACCCCCACGCCACCAGGGGTCCCCCTGGGTAGCATTTCTTTTTGCTTCTTTCTCAGATTTTCCATCTCTCTGCTTCCATTACCATCTGTTCTTGCACTTTTTCTTAGTTTTCTACAAGATCCCTTAGCATATTAATCATAGTTACTGAAAATTCCCTAACAATTCCCAAATCCGTATCATAGCTGAGTCTGATACTCAGGTGTGCTTCTCTCTTAAATTGCTGCTTTATCCTTGAGTAAGCCTTGTAATAGTTTGTTGAATGTAAGATGAAATACACTAGGTAAAAGTAACTCTGGCAAACATCCCTTTAGTGATGTGGAGGTAAGGGGTATGGGGTGGGCGATCATTCTCCAGTCCCCTGACTAGGTCTCGGTGTTTCATCGACATGTTCCTCTGAGATGTGAATTTTACAAGAGCATCTTTGTGCGCCTCCACCTCAGGAGTGACAGGATGGAGGAAGTGAATTAGAGTTGGTTATTTTATTTTCTCCACAGGGAGGGCTAGAAAAGGCTGAATCTGGATATTTTTCAACTATCATTTGTTTTGGTTCTTCTAAAACTCCAAAAAGTTAGGCTCTGACAAAATAATCTCTTGATCCAAGTCTTATCAAGGAAAACAGAACATTCTAGAATGTTCCAACATGGTGACAATTTTCCTCCTACTGCCTAAACATGAAGACTTTTTCCCTGTATTCACTGTGAGAGCCTAGTAGAGCTCCTGTAGACAGAACTCACAAAATGGGGAGACCCTCAGTGACTGAGTCTCCCTTGAGTTTCTAAGGTCTAGACTGTCCACACTGAGTCTGCAGCAGTTCTCTAGAGGCAGTTTAGGCTTTTATACCCTGATCCTGGTTCATGTGAAGGTTTTTGCTCTGATAAATTGTAATTCTCTACACCTACTGTTCAGTCTCTCCAATTTTGGGGACACTGGGTTTCTCTGTGATGTGACCTAATCTCCTGACAGACCTAAGAACAGTTGTCGGTATTTTTGTTTCTTCAGGTTTTTGCTTGTTTTTAGGGGGGAATGATGACCCTCAACCTCCTTTCCAGATCTACTTGACTTTTAGAACCACTTGTATATATGATCATGTTCCTTGGATTCTTCCCCCAGGCTAAAGCAGAAGGAGAGGGTCAAACGTCGAGAGAAACGGCGCTGACTCTACAGAAGGGCATGGTGATGGCTTATAAGAAGAAGCTGCTGGTTTGTGAGAATAGTGGGTGGAGTAAGTAGAGGCTGACTGAGACACATGGGGTGGGAGGAAGGGGTGGTGAACTTTTGCTAGAAAGAGAAAGAAGAGGGAAGACCATCATCATAGACCTTGACTTCTCTGCCTGTCCACCCCCTTTATCGAGTATCTGGGGCACATACAAGTCCCACCACCTGCAGCCATCTCCAGGGATGGTCTGATGAAATTTGCTACATGGAGAGAGAGTCTTCTTCATGAAGAGGGACAATAAGGTGCCCAGCATGGGGGTGTCATTAGCACTGGGCACAGGGGGCCCCTAATGTAGACCATCTCTGTTTCTTCAAGGAGTTGCCTCTCTTAGCAGCTCACCAGGAAGCTGCACAATCCCCCCCCACCCCTGCATTACCCACAGTCCCGGGCTTAGGCCTATACGACATCAGCAGTCACAGGCTACAAGCGTGATGCCCTGACCACATAGCCCGGATCTTACCTGCATCTCTGCCCCCTTCACCAGCTTCCAAAGGACACTCCCAACACACTTGGGTTCTTACGCCAAGTGTGAACTATTAGCATCAAAAAGCAAGTGTGTAAACTGGGTGACATGAACACTGCAAACCCACCAGCTCCCATTCCTTGGATTCGTCAGGTCAGCCTGATGCAGCTCGGGGCAGATTCCTCAGAGATGAGGGGATGTCCTCTCCCCCACCCCGACCTCTAGAGATCCTAATTGCAGCATCTGGTCAGGGTCAGGTCCTGCTGTCAATTACCCCCTGTCAGTGACATTGGCTAGAAAGGGGCTGAACTGTCTGGTCTTGCAGGGTCAGTGTCTTTTGCTTCTGGGGAAAGTCCAGCCCTCCCCAGAGCAAGGCCCTCCTGAGGGCTAGAGAGGAGGGTGGTGTCCCCAGTGTAGAGGAGGTCAGAGACCCCTGCAGAGGCAGCGGGAGATGGCGTGTGACAAAGCGCCACATCTTCAGGGAGGGCCGAGGAAGATGCTCAATCGTCAAAAATGTTGTTTCTTAAGTGAGGGAAAGTGAGCTGGAGGAAGTTCAAGGCTCCCACAGCAGCGCCTGCAAGTCATGGACAGTCCACGAGGGGCGGGGCTGCTCTCTCTGTTGCACAGCTGCACGCTGATGGCAAGGCAGTGCGCCTTGACCACGTCATGTGCCCGTGAGGCGGACACACGGCTCACAGGAGCTAATTTCATCCCCACAGTAATCGGAGAGGAAAATGCCAAAGATTTTCTGTGTGACTGCGGAGAAAATCAGAATCCCTCTGGCACCCACCTTATCTGCAAGTGAGACTGAGAAATCTTTTCAGTGTTGAGTGAGTTAGAGGGAGTGTCTGGCAGAGGGACTGGCACAGAGCGGCCTCCACCCCCAGCCACCTGTGGCCTCCCCAGGACCTGACCACGGGCTCAGGGCCCTGCCTTCCCACAGCCCCTCACCCAAGGGCCCTGCCATTACCCCTCCGCCCACCCTCTCCCCTCAGGGCCAAGTCCTTAAAGCATCTCCACACTCTGTGTCTTCCCTCCCGGCCTCGCTGCCTCCACCTGCTGCAGTTCACCCCGGAGATCACGTCTTGGAAGCGCCTGCTTGGACGCTCCTCTCCCTGGATGCTGGACAGTGATCTCTGGGCTTCTTTCCCGGGCTGTCTCCACTCTGTCTCCTTCATGGGCTCAGTCCTTCGTGATCCCTGACTCTTTGGTGGAGGCAAGTCTCAGGCCTCTGGACATTTCTCTGTGTGGGCCTTGAAGCCACCCGGGAAGCTGGCAGTGTCGGAGGAGGAAATCAGGGAGGAGACTCAGGGCAGAGAGACCCGGCAGAGGGGGCAGCCCTGCAGGAGGGGGTTGGGAGGAGCAGACCCTCCCCCCCACAGGCAGGTCTCTGGTGGAGCAAGTGGCACCCGTGGGTGCAGATCCCAAGGTCTTCTCAGCGTCAGACCCAGAAGGTCCAGAGAGAGGTCAGGGGCTCTGAGTTGTCACAAGCACCCCAGCCAGTGCCTCTGATAGGGCCCCCGGATCACCCCAGAGAAGAGCCGCCATGCTGCCTGCAGGAGCAGGGCTGGGCTGCGGGTGGTGGGGGGAAGCCCCCAGCAGGGTGACCTGGCTCTCCTGACCTGGATCCTTCTCCTTTCAGGTGTTATTGAGGTCTCGGATGATAAAAAGAAGAAAACCTTCGAAGAACGTGAGTTGCAGACCCGGCATGTTCTCAGACTAGGTCTTAGTCCCCTGACCCCACAGGTTGGATGCAAACCAGGGCCACAGGGGGCGCCGCCTTCTCCCCACAGGGGGACAGGCCTCCTTGCTCCTGCCACCTCCCCTGCTTTTCAGGAGCAGGATCCTTGAAAATACATAACAAACAAGCTCCCCCCCCCCGTGAATAGTGGGGGGTGTGTGAGTGTTGTGTGTATTTGCTTGTGTCTGTCTGTCTGTCTGTCTGTCTCTGGGGGAGACTAACTTGGTGAGTAAATCCTTCTTTTTTATCTTTCTAGTTGAGTTTAGAGGAATATCAAGAGGTGAGTGGTTCTCTCTGAGCCAGGAGAGTGGCCTCTGATTCCTGCCCCGACCCCATTCCCAGGAGCCAGCTCTGCACAATGAGATGCCCACAAGTGTGCCTGAGTCCTCCTGCCCCAGGGCACTGGGATCTGGTCCCTTGGGCGATGGGCGGCAGCAGGTGGGGAGGAGGGGGTGGGGAAGCAGGGGCAGAAGCGCAGAGAAACTGAGTCTCTTGGAACTAATTCTCCGGTGGGGCTTTTCATTTCTTTTCTAGGAATCCCATTTGCTTCCCTGATCTCCGCAGGTGAGCGTGTGGTGGGCTTGGGGTGGGAACCCTTCTTGCCACAGGCAGCTGAGCCCAGCGGTTGCCCCTGGCTGCGCCACCGCTGCCCTGGGGCCTTTATCACGTGCCAGGGGGCCGACACCAGACCTGCACGAACTGATTTCAGGCTCACAGTAAATCAGAGAGGAAACTGACGTGCAGGGCAGTTAAAGGATTAGCCAAAGATTGGCTGCGAGACGGCAGAGAAAGTCAGAATCCCGGGTCACTATTTAGCTATGAAATCGAAGCTAGACCTGCTTCCAGAGGGGTGAGCTAGAGGGAGAGTCTGCTGGAGGGACTGACACAGAACCGTCTCCACCCCCAGCTCACCTGCAGCCTCCCCTGCACCTAATTAGGGGCTCAGGGTCCTGCCTTCTCACAGCCCCTCACCCAAGGGCCCCCTGTTATCCCTCCTCCCACCCCCTCCCCTCAGGGCCAAGTCCTTAAAGCATCTCCACACTCTGTGTCTCCCCTCCCGGCCTCGCTGCCTCCACCCGCTGCAGTTCACCCCGGAGATCACGTCTTGGCAGGGCCTGCTTGGACGCTCCTCTCCCTGGGTGCTGGACACTGATCTCTGGGCTCCTCTCCTGGGCTGTCTCCACTCTGTCTCCTACTCCTTTGTAAACACCCATAGAAAGTTCTCTGGTGGAGCAAGTGGCACCTGTGGGCGCAGATCCCAGGGACTTCTCAGTGCCAGAGCCAGGAGGTCCGGAGTGAGGTCAGAGATTCTGAGTTGCAAGACGCACCCCAGTGCCTCTGATCAAGGGGTCCCCAGGGCCCCTGAGCAGAGCTGCCGTGCTGCCTGCGGATGACCCTGGGCTGCGGGTGGGGGAGGGGAGGGCTCCAGCAGGGTGACCTGGCTCTGGCTCTCCTGATGACCCGGACCCTTCTCCTCTCAGGAGTTACAGATGTCTCGGCTGATGAGCTCTGGGATCTGACACCTGGGCAGTGGGCAACACAGGTGGGGAGGAGGGGTGGGGGAGCAGGGGCAGAAGAGCAGAGAAACTGAGCATCTTTGAACTAATCTTGGGCTGGGAATTTAATTTCTGCTCTAGAAATGTGGTGTGGTTCTGTCAGTCCGATCCCCCCGATAGGTGAGTGTGTGGTGGGGTTGGGGGAGGAATCCTTCCTGCCACCATCAGCTGCGCCCGGCAGTTGGCCCTGCCTTTGGCACCACTGCCCTGGGCCTGGCCCAGCACCCTGTCCAGGGGGCTCCTGGGGGCTGAGGGTGGGGAGGGTGGGCCTGATGGGGCAGGAAGAGGTGCTGCAGGAGGGAGGCGGGGTCGGAGGGAGCACAAACCCTCCAGTGTCTGAAAAGTGAATTTGAGGATGAAGAAAGACATGATGGCTTGTGATTCTCTCTCCAGGAAGCATAGAGGAACCCTCTGGGCAAGGTGAGTGTTTACCGAGAGGGAACCTGGGCTTCTGGGTGGAAACTGACAGGCTGACACCCCTGGAGCTTCCCTGCCACTCGGACAACTGAATTCTCTTCCATGTACACATTGTCACATCCCCTTTTTGTTCACTCACTCTCCCTCATCCACACTCAGTCCCGCCACCCTGATGAGGCTGTGTCGGAAACAGGCACTGATCTTGGCACAGGGACTCAGGGTTCGGCAGTGAACCCAGAGACAGAAATGCCGCCTCATTGGAGCTTCCTCTCGTGTGACCTCTCACCTCAGCAGGTCTCTTTGATGGCCCCTCAGGTGCTCTGGGAGAGGCTAATTCCTTCTAGACTCAGAAGACACAGACACAAGTGTGATCTGTAGGGTGCGGTGTGTGCCCGGTTCTACTGCATGTGCTTCACATACGTGGCCCCCGTGATTGTCACCACAGCCGCATTTTAGATGTGGAAACTGAGTCCAGAGCAGGGAAGATTCTCATCTCTACAGCCGTAGGCCAGGATCCTCCTTGTTCAAGAAAAGTGTCATAGAGGAGTCCCTGTGATTTCTTCCACATCCCAAGACACCTTTAAGATTCTCCATCTCTGCTCCCGGTGCCTGCCCCCTCATTTCAGCTGTATCCTCATCTTTCTAGCCTATTTTGACACCTGCACCCCCAGAGTTCAAACACATCACCCACAGAGATGCTTTTCACCAGCAGCTTGAATGCTTGATGAGTTTGCTTACATGATGGGGAAAGATTATCCTAGGAATGTTCTACCTAAGACTCGTTCCTATTTCCCGGGTGGCAGATTTCAAATGCCTGGAAAAAGAGGTTTTCATGAACATGGAGAAGGTGGCTTTGCTCTCAAGGAACATTCGGGCTGTCATGTTCACTAACATCCAAGCTATGCTGGGGGACCGACAGGCTCTGCAGGACCTCATGGACACGGTGAGGGGGCCCCACAGCTGTCCGGGCTGATCAAACCTGCAAATGGTGTATGTTTAGCAGATAGGGCTGCCCAGACTCATGGGGAAGGAGAGTGGGGATAATAGTAGGGGAATGAGAGGGCCAGGAGAGTGGCCATGCTGCATGGCCATCCCATGTAGCATATCCCTTGGGGGGGCAAGGTATCCCTTGGGGGGTAGAGAAAGACATTAACCCAACTTTTGGGTAATAACATATAGATCACAGATCATCATCATCCTTGCCTTTTGCAGCTTGACCAGGAGAAGCCCTTGGGTCATTTGAGTGGCCCTGGTGCCACCATCTTGGATGAGCTGGGAAGGATCCCAGGGTACCCACATGTTGACCCAGTGGACCTCATCCTTTACCTGCTTGAAGCCATAATGGGTGAGAGAGATTTGAGGGGGTGTGGGAGAGCCTCAGTGTTGGTCCCCAGAACCTCGAACAGGAATTTGTGAGCTACCACCTCCCCGAAGCACTTTGATGATTATGGTTTTCATACTCTCATCACTCCTCACTCAGAGGAGCAGTGAGGAAAACTTGCCATGTGACACGGAGCCTGAGGCCTAGACAGACCCGCCCACGTTCATCCACACTGTCATTGGGGTGGGTGGTTCCAGGCTTGAGGCTCAGAATCCCACCCTCTCAACTATGTACTGTAGCATCGCGGAGGCCATCCCCAAAGCAGAAGGAAGACTCGGAGGACAGGGATTTGCAATTTACATCTAGTGGGTTTTCTTCTTCTACCTGGAGATCCCCCCTCATGGGGTTTCTTAATTCACCCTGTTGTGGGGTATTTGACTCCTCACTCTTTTCCCAAACACCCTCTGTCCCCAGTGCTGAGTGACACCCAGCACGCTCTGCTGGCCCAGTCCATGGAGAAGAGGATCCTGCCCTGTCAGCGGGAGCTGGTGAGAAATGCCCGGGGCCGGCATCCTGGAGGGATTGGGAGGTGGGTGGAGAGAAGAGTGACTCTGAGGAGAGATGATGCAGTTTCTGGGAGGGGAGACCCCATCCCAGTGTGTCCCTGGGAAATCCCAGCTCCTGTCCTTCTGGAGAGCAGGCCCAGTGGATGTGAGGGTCTCAGTTTCCATGGAAACCCTGCGGAGGGCCCCAGAGTACTAAAATAGTCAAACAGGGATACAGATTTGGGGAGCTCAGAGGTTCTGAGGAATACCCCCACTTTAATTACATAGTTACAATTCAATTGCTCTTCTATCTCCATGTATGTTTGTATGTATGTATGTATGTATGTGTGTGTGTGTGTATGTATGAGTCCATAGGAGATTCTAGAATTATACATCCACATTCACACATTGCACACATGTACACACACACCTGTGACCCCAAATACCACTGTCCTACAGGCCAGTGCTAGTCTCTCCATTTAGCAACTCAGGAAGCAGTGATCAGCAATTTCCAGAAATGTGTGCCCAAGGTCACACTGAGCACAAGACATGACCAGGATGGAGTCCTCGTCCCCATGACTCTTTCCTCAGTCATACCTCACTGTTGGGACAGAAGGTTTTCTCTTCCCAACCAAAGGCTGACCTGTAACATCTTACACAATTTATTCTAGGTGCGGAGCATCCTGGAGCCCAACTTCAAGTACCCCTGGTGGATTCCCTTCACCCTTGACTCCAAGCTCCTCACCCCCCTGCAGGGTGAGGGTGTGGCCATCACCTCTGGGCTGCTGCAGGAGTGTGGGCTGAGGATGGAGCCGAATAACCCCAGGTCCACCTGGGATCTGGAAGCCAAGGAGCCCCTGTCAGCCCTGTTTGCATCCCTATGTCTGCTGCAGCAGCTGACAGAGGCCTGATCCGCCCCCAACCCCCTTAGGCATCCAAACCCGAGACAGACTCCTGCTCCAAACTGTCTGTGCTGTGTTGTCATCCATGGGCTGGGGGGACATGGGTCCTTTCTGAATGGGGACCATTCAGGACTGGAGGAAAGTTCTGGGGTGATGGAAATACTCTACATCTTGCTAAGGATTAATTATTCATCAAAACTCAACAAACATGGCCTCCATGGTGGCCTAGCAGTTAAGTCTCAGCGCTATCACCACTATGGCCTGAGAGTGATCCCCAGCCAGGGAGCAACCCACATGGCACAGCAGACCTCTCCTGTCTCACCTGCTCCCCTCAGCAGTGTATTTCAATAGATCTGCCTGTTCTGCTCCCCACTCTGTCTCTGGTGAATCCTCTCACCCCCTACACCTCTGGCCTACACCCCAGCTCTTCTATGCAAATAACAAAACAAAACAAAAACCCCAAAACCCAAACCAAATAAACAAATGGGAGGAATCAGAATATGCAGCATAGAACAAAGAAAGTACATAGGCTGCATTTTAAGATAATCATTAGCATATTAAGAAAAACAGGAGAAAAGTGTTGCATTAACGTTGCTCTTTAAAACACAACATTGAGAGGATACAGCAGAGCTATTAGAAATTAAAACTATTATAACATAAGAAAGTCTAACATAAAAGAGTAGATAAAGTTGACCAAAAGGGCGTAATTGAAAAATAAGACATAAATTTAGAAGATCTGTTTAGCACGGTTAACATCTGGATAAAAGAAGTGTTTTAAAGAAATGATGGGTATGTGGATTGTTTTGAGTCTATCGACTGCGGCTCTGCAGGTTCACAAGAAACTGTAACTCTCTAGAGGAAATTAGCTATGGGGATGTGGGTTGTCCTCAGCTTTTGGCCTCTGCTTCCCCAAGCCCTATTCTCTGCTCCTGCCCCTTCCCTGGGCCCCGCCTGACATCCCCGGCCTTGGCCTCTGGCGGTGGAGGCAGTCAGCAGGGTTTTCTTGCCCAGAGTGTCCTGGTGGCGGGATCGGATCCCACCTTGCAGATTTCTAGACTAGCCCACACAGCTGACGAGCACCACGCGCACCTGTTTCCTTTGGCCTCAGCTGCAGAGGCGCCGCCAAGATGGCGCCCTTGGTGGGTGCTGGACGCCCAGCACAGCAGACACTCAGCCCCGGGCTCTGAGGCAGGAGAGTTTATTTCCAAGAGGGCGCCGGCGAGTCCAGGAGCCTGAGCTCCTGATGAAGAGGGTTCAGGGTGTTCCAGGAGTGGGTCCGGCCAGTGAGGGCTGGGGTGGAGGAGGGAGGAATTTAAGTATTTTAAGGAAGTGGATTATTAGGAAGGGTGTAAGAACGCGGCCTTTCCGTGCTCGAGTCGTTTCTCTTGGTGACCTGAGGACCCCGCGCTGACCCCTGGATGACGCTGTCTCCTTGGCCGACTTCCTCAGCTGGAAACAGAGGTTTGCAAGAGATGAAAGTCTTACTTCTAGGGAGGTCAGTCAGACAGGGCTGCTCCTTGAGTCTCACTGAGGCCTGGACCACCTCCCCCAGGGGACTTCCTCTGCCTTCCCTCCCCGCCTCTCTGCTTCCTCCACCCAATAGTGACTCCCCTCGTCCAGACATCTCACCTCTCACCAACACCTCCCCCGATAGAGAGCCTGACAGGTGGACCCCAGGCAGCCCCCCATGATCCTCTCAGAGTTCAAAGCAGGGAGGTGGCCTCCCCGAGGTGGCCCCAGGGCAGATCCAGGTGGGGGAGACCAGGAAGCCACAGAGGAGGCCGGCTGGGCGGGCTGCCCTGTGGAGCTGTGGGCTCGGTGCACATCTGGTTAGAAGGGGTGTCCCGTGGGGCCGGGCTGAGTGGTGGCCTGAGGTCTAGGCAGGAAAATACTGAATCTGGAACCCACCTTATGGAGTTTCGTCTGGAAATGTCAGCTTTTCATCTGTGACCTCAACAATATCTGAAAGGAGAATGATCCAGGTCAGGAGAGCCAGGTCACCCTGCTGGAGGCTTCCCCAGCCCCACCTGCAGACCAGCCATGCACCTTCAGGCAGCATGGCAGCTCTCCTCAGAGGGTGGGGGCCCAGCATCAGAGGCACTGGGGTGCTTGTGACAGCTCAGAGCCCCTGACCTCACTCTGGACCTTCTGGGTCTGACACTGAGAAGACCCTGGGATCTGCACCTACAGGTGCCACTGGCTCCACCAGAGACCTGCCTGTGGAGGGGAGGGTCTGCTTCCCCTCCTCCTGCAGGGCTGCCCCTGTGCCAGGTCTCTCTGTCCTGAGTCCCCTCCCTCATGTCGTCCCCCCTTACTCTCTGCCAGCTTCCCTGGTGGTTTCAAATTTCCCATGAGAAATGCACTAAAAACTGAACATTTTCTAACTCTAAGGTCTTTGACAGGTGAAGTGAACCCAAGAGGAAACACTGAAACAGTCCTACAGATGAAGCGCTCACAGGCCCTAGTGTCCCGGTATCCAGGAGACGTGAGTTCCAGTGAGTGCACTAGTGACTGGGGGGTGTGAACTCACTGGGGTGAACTGCAGCGGGTGGAGGCAGCGAGGCGGGGAGGGGAGGACACAGAGTGTGGAGATTCACTAAGGACTTGGCCCTGAGGGGAGGGGGTTTTAGGAAGGATAATGGGGGGGGGGTGCGGGGGGCCCTTGGGTGGGGGCTGTGGGAAGGCAGGGCCCTGAGCCCTCGGTCAGGTCCTGGGGAGGCCGCAGGTGGCTGGGGGTGGAGGCCGCTCTGTGCCAGTCCCTCCGCCAGAGGGACGAACCCTCCTATGAACACCTACAAGGTGTTTTTACTTCTAGCTGCAGATGAGACGGCTCGCAGAGTTTTTTGATTTTCTCTGCAGTTGCACAGCACGTCTGTGGCATGCTCTCGACCTGCACATTCCTCTCCTTCTGCTCTGCGATGGGGATGAAACCGGTGCCTGTGGGTCTGGTGTCTGCTGCTCTGGCACATGCACAGCTTCCTTCCCTGACACGGAGAACCAACGCCTGTGACCAGTGAGCAGCTCCGGCTCCCCCGGGTGGTGGGAACATGACTTGCAGGACTAAAGTGCTCGCCTCTTGTCTGAGGTGACTCAGTTCCCAGCCGCCGGCTCTGAAGAAACTCGACATTTTGGAAGATTGAGCTCCTTTCTCTCCCTCCCTCAGGTGCAGCCCTCTGCCATTCTCCGTGACATTTAACGGCAGGTGCCTCATCAGGGGACGGAGATCTTCCTCTTGCGTGTGAATCCCAGTCTCAGCAGAGAGCTGCGTTGGGTGTTCCTGCCTTTCCCCGGAAGAAACGTCCACTGACCTCACACGTCCTGGGAGCTCAGCCCCCGGACCCTGCCTGGCCAGATGCTGCCCTTCAGATGCCACATGGAGCAGTGTGTGAGCCTGTGCTTGTCTCTGTGTGTCTCTGTGGGTGAACGCATACGCGAGTACATACATGTAAAGTGTGTTTGTGTGTGTCAGAGAGTTTATGAATTGTTGTAGTTCATGTATGTATTTGCGTGTGTGCAGGCATCGCTTGTCTCTCAGGCTGAGTTCTCAGTGGACTTCATTTGGGAGTGGAGAGGCCAGGATCCTCCCATTGTTCCTCAGCCCTCTGCCCACCGGGCATGCGGCTGATCTTTTATGCCACTAGTTCACCGTGCGGGTCCAAGCCCTAAGTCTGCGTGTCGGGGCTCAAAGTCTAGTGAGTGAGGGAGAGATAAAGACAAATCGCTGCCTTATCAACACAAGGCTTTGCATCTGCAGTTGCGTCTGTGATTGTGCTGGTATTTTGGGAGATTTAACTGGAGCTATGGGCACCGGGGTCCCCCAGGGGAGCTGCTGAGAGCGGCAGGTTCTTGAAGGACTAGAGGTGGTGGGAACTACGGCTGCTCGGGACACCTCTGCCCGGCACACCCTTTGTCCCTGGTCCCTCTCCTCGTAGGAAATTGTCACGACCTCCCTGTGGTTACAGTGCGTAGTGGGGTGTGTGTGTCTCCAAACAGCCGAGAGATGTTGCTCCTCCTCTCCAAGGCAGGCAGAGAAGCCAAGGCGGCCTGTTGAGTCTCTTTTACTTCTGGTCTCTCTTTCCAGGAGAAAAAGACGCCCTGTCCTCACCCGTGCCCTCAGTCTCTGCTCACCCCAGCCGCTGTCTCTGATGATCAGTTGCTTCATCTTGTAGGCCAGCACCATGCCCTTCTGCAGAGTCAAAAGCTTCTCCTTTGGTTTATCATCCTGGTGACAGAGATGAAGAGAAAATATTCCTTTTCGTGTGTAGTTTTGAAAGTGAAATAGATCTGGAAAGTTCGTGAGCAAAGAACCCAGCTGTCCTCTCTGTTCTGCATCCCAATTGCCAGTTACCATGGTTTTGCCTTTTTCATCTCATATTTACCTTCTATTTCTCAATTTCCTATTTCTATTGTAATCATTTGATATTTTCCCACATTTAAATATGCCTACTTCCTGTTTCCTTTTGATAGGCTCCTTTCCTATGCCTCCCCCTCCCTCACCACCCACTCCCCACATCCTCCTGAAATGTTCATAGCCAGCACCTGTCTAAGTCAGTCGTCACTGTTTTCTGTGAGGGAGACTGAACCTCCTCACTCCGGGTCTTTTCAATATCAGCTAATTCATGTGGCTTCTCTCCTTTTTTATTCATTCTCTCCAGGGGTTGTTTAGCACGCATATTTTCAAACCTTGTATAAGTGGAGGTATGTTTTTATTGTCAAATTGATTAATATTTGACTGGACATTGAATTCTAGGGTGTAATTTCATGGGTAGGACTTTTTTTGTTTTTGTTTTTAAAAATGTTTGCTTTCTTTTAGAGGGTAATGCCTAGAGTTTCAAACATGTATTAATTATGTGGTCTCAATTGTTGCTGGCTCACTACATTGGACCTTCGGTTGGCATTTTCATTACATAAACACATTCCTCGAGTCTCAGAATGTTCTTGCATTATTTCTTAGATTAGTTACTCCCACAGCATTTTGTCTCTGTTCTGTTTTCCTGGACCTCCTATTATTCAGAAGTTGGGTCTCTGGACTGATACTCTACATTTTTTACTGATATTTTCCTATCCTTTGTTTACTTTTTTTCAAATATCTTCTGGATTTTATTTTCTGACTTTTCTGTTGTTATAAATGCTTTGACATCTGGCTCTAGTCTGATCGATAAAGAGCTAGGATGTCATCATTCCTTCGTATCAACAAGTGAAAAGCTACACAAACTAAAAACCCAGAGCTCTTAGATCTGTTAGAGAAGTGAGGTCACAGAGCAATAACTGTCCCCCAAATTTGTAAAAAGTCAATTTACCAAAGAAGAAACCTCCACAGGAACTGGTGTCAGGGTAGAGAAACCTAAACTGTTACTGAGAAATTCCTCTAAGGTCAGTGGGACAAACCTGGGCCTTAATAACTCCGGGGAGACCCAGTCATGTGGGAATGGCTCACACCTTTGTAAGTTGTATTTCCAGGAGCTCAAACCAGTTCTCATAGTGAGTATCCAGGGGGATAAAAATCCCCTCTTGCTTCAGACAGTGAGAAAAGCAATGTCACCTTAACTTGTCCTTGGAGGTAAACTAAGGGGCAACTGCCATCAAGGTCAGGAGTTATCTTTGAAGGAATTTCTTATCCAGTCCAGCATAGTTCCAATATAATTAATCAAGCGACCTTATATATAG